CATTTTTTCAAAAAACGATACTTCCAACCCACACATCAGCAGCACGATTTTATTTGCTGCATCTGCAGCATCAATGCCAAACATATACTAAATTGATACCGAAAGGTGCTTCAATTTGAGAAACGAGAAATTGTGTATTAATGTTTTTATAAACCCAGGAATAACAATTGCAAATTCAAGGGAATAATCATTAGGTTTCCTTGAAGCATGATGTTCTGCTTGTTCAAGATTGGTGTGGGTGACTAATTGGCTATGATTGGCAGAGAACCCCTTTTATTTGTCGGTCACTTATCTCATTATTGGTGAAAATTGTTGGTACTCATAAAACGTGATATTGGATATTTCCACGTTGATAATAGATGTATACGTTTTCTTGTCTACCTCCGGAGCCTCTCGTGGCCAGAGCTCTGCTGAAGTCCCCTTTGCCAAAAGCTTGTCACTACCCTCTACCAGACCATCTACCGGAAGCCATGGATGGAAAATCTCGGGCAACCCACTTGGCAACAGAAAGCCATGGGTGTTGAGGTTGGGTTAGTGGAAGTGGAAGACTGATATTGATTTTTAGAAAAAATAAAAAGCAAAAGAAAAAACTTTGGCCAGTTAAGGGTTTGGCTAGGCATTTATTCACATGTCACAAAATATATGGATTTAAGGTTGCATTTGGCATTCTTTATTTTAAAGACTTATCTTTTTTTTTGCTGTTAAAAATTCAATGTTTACAGGGGCATTTTTTTTAGCCCAAACTTTACTCCAGATGGTCACCTAACATTGTCAAAAGACGTAAAAAATAGATATAGAGGAGGACATAGCCCACATTGCCCCAAATCCAAAGAGAATAAAGTTCTCCCACGCATACTCAACCCTGCCCAACAAAGAAATAAGCATTACAAACAAACAAACACAGAACAACAAAGAATCATCAACCAATATGAATTCCCATGTAATCCTCCATAAATAACCTAGAGAACATTCTAGAACCATCTTAGGCTTCGGTCATGGAACCCTTCATTATTCTAAAAATTTTCAAAATATGCATTGCATTTTGTTCACCCTCTTTTGTCTAGCATTTTAAAAACCAACCAGGAGGCTGAACCATTTTCCCCTCAACCATCTGGGTTGGACGGGATAAACAGTAACATGTCATCATATATATATGCACATAATGCTTTGCACATGACAATTTTAGATGCTTCCAAAATTTTGTACAATTATATATATATATATATATATATATATATATATATATATATATATATAATTCTTATTTATCATACTTATTTTTGTTCAATATGATGAATACATGATATTAGAGATGTTTATAAATGTGTATATATATATATATATATATAATTCTTATTTATCATACTTATTTTTGTTCAATATGATGAATACATGATATTAGAGATGTTTATAAATGTGTATTATCTTTTTAATTATTATTATTATTTATTTATGACATCAATGGTTGACACATTTGATCCTAAAAGTTGAATTATTAACTCGCCACACTTATTTTTCTTTAATATAATTAATATGAAATATTAGAGATGTGCCCAAATGTTTTCTAAAAAACTTATGTATCTTCTGTAACTTCATATTTTTGTTTTTTTAATTTTTATTATTTAATTATGACATCAAGGTTTGACACATTTGACCTAAAGGTTGAACTATTGACCTACCACCAAATAGGATAACAATTTCACTTTTTGACTAGTTTTAATTTGTATTTCATTTTCATCATCAATAATAACAATCATTGTTTATCACATTTATTTCTTTAATATTATTAATATAAAATATTAGTAAAGTTCTAGATTTTATTATCTGTGTTTTATCTTTATTTAATTTTGAAATCAATGATTGACACATTTGATCCAAAATGTTGAACTATTGATCTGCCACTAAATAGGAAAAGAATTTCATTTTGGATCGATTTTAAATTTTGTATTTCATTTCCACCTTCAATAAAAACAATTATTAATTATCATAATTATTTTTCTTTAAGATGATTAATATATAATATTAGAGATGTGCCTAATTTTTCTATTCTTTTTTCTATCCTTGTAAAATTTTTTTGTATTTATTTCTATTTTTAAAGTTTTATTATTTAATTGTAGCATCTTGGATTGACCCATCTTGATCCAAATGGTTGAACTACTTGACCACCACCAAGATGAAAGAGTAGTTTTGTTTTTTGGGTTTGGTTTTAAAAACATAGAATTTATATTGTTAAAAATATTGGATATAGATTTGATTGATAAATTTGGTGCAAAAAACAAAAAAAAACTTAAATATGGGATTCAATAAAAGAGAATAGGAGTTAATACCTTAAATGTATAGTAGTTCAAATTATATTTTTGCCCTCACAATTAGAGATGGACCAAATTTAAAAATATGAGTGCTTTAGTCAAACAAAAGTTTCCACATTCTCATTCTCTGCATAAATGTATGTTATATAGAATAAATAATATATAATTACATTATACATGTAATATATGTATATGTTTGTGTGTTTTATATTTTATGCCTAATTTATACTTTTTTATTTTTATAAATAAAAGGCCAAAAATTGAGATTTGAGGCTAAAAAAGGTTTTTTTTTTCTTGACAAAAATAGAGGGGCAAGGCACTTTTTAACCTTGGGATGCATAGATTGTGAAAAAACCCAAATTAAAAAAAAAAAAAAAAAGATAACCCCAATTGGATAACCGAACATGAAGTTATGGCCCTTAAAAGTTGCATGTTAATTGTAATTTTTAAGCCATTAACCGGGTCAATGGTCAACCACAGACCAAGTTAACAACCTTTAAAAATAAGGAATGTGTTTGTACATTTATTTAAAAGGTGAAAAGAGGTTTCTACAAGTGTTAAGGCACAAAGGAGGTTGAAGTAATTGTCTCGAGGTTTAACTAATTTTGCCTTTATCTATATGATGTTAATTTTTTATAATGGCAATTTAAATAATTTAATATTGTATATCACGGATTTAAATATATAATGAGATACAATACAAAATTTTCAAAATACAAGTATCTTTTCTTATTTTTTAAAATAAATGTACAATAAACAAAATTTCAAAATATAAATTTCTGATTTTTGCATAATGTTTAGCTATTCAAATGTTTTAAATTTTAAATCTCATAAAATATATTTGAAGTACATGCCCTTGATCTAACTTGCATTAAGTCATAGGCAAATATTTTAATCTGGGATTATAAGTCATAGGCAAATATTTTAATATTGTAAATCACGGATAAAAACATTTAAATAAATATAATACAAAAATTTCAAAATCCAAATTTCTTTTATCTTTTTAAAAGAAATGTACAATAAACAAAATTTCAAAATATTGATTATTATAAAACTATAATACCCCTTGTAGTTTTATGGATTTACTAAAATCTATCCTATAATTTGCATTTTACTAAAACACTCCTATAGTTTGCAACAATTTACTTAATCAAACTTTCATTAGATGAAAGTGGAAAATGGCAATTTTGACCTTAACATCCCTTCAAACAAATTTAATCTATAGAAAACAAAAATGGAAATATCATTCTTGTTCCTATTAAAACACGGACAACTCTATTTGGCAAAACTTGTTGTCTGTTTGAAGAAAGACAAACCATTGTTGACAAAGAACCTTGGATGCCATTGTTCTCTTTTTTTCATTCTACTGAAGCCAAACATGTTTTGATAGATCTGAAATCGATTCTTATTTCTTTCAAGAAGTTTGATATATATATAAAGTTTTAGGGGTACTTTTGGAATAAAAAAGCATGGGCTCATGCCTTTAAACATTTAATACAAAAGGATTCTTAACAGAAGATCTATTAAGTAAATTGGTTGCAAATTAAAGGAGGTATTGTAGTAAAATATGCATGAACTATAGGGTTAGTTTTAGTAAATTTGTGAAACAAGGGGTGTTTCATTTAGGGGTGCAACTTGGGCGACCCAACCCGAGCCCAAAATGACCCAACCCAAAATTTTACATGAGTTAGGCTTGGAATTTTGGTCCTTGGGTTGGACTCAGGCCCAAGAGTTCGAGCTTTTTAATTTTTTGGGCTGAACCCAAGCCTAGCCCTTAGGTAGCCTGAACCCGGCTTAAGCCCAACCTGATTATACACATACATATATGTATTTACATATATACATACATATTTGCATATATACATGCATATATGTATATATATTTTCATAAATGCATAAATACATGTATACTTTTAGAGCAGATTCATTAACCAACCCGAGCCTAACCCGAATGCATCAAATTACAATTTGGGTTGGGCTTAGATTGGGAAAATCAGGCCTGACCTTAGGCTTAATCCGGGCTTGGGCCTTAAGCCCAAATCTTAGAGTTGGGCTTGGGTTGACCATAAACCCGGCCCAACTCGCCTAACTTGCACCCCCTAGTCTCAATAAAATGTTTCAATAAAAAATTTATTATTTATTTATTTTTCTTAGTTTAAATATAGAAGTCATGATTGTCCTACTTAGAGGTGTAAATCAGGCCATACCGCGCACGACCCGACATGGCCTAGCACGAAATTGGGCCAGCTCAACACAACGGCATGCAAACCATGCTGGGCACGACACGATGGGTTGGGTCATACTGGGCTTGGGTTTTCAAGCCCATGGAATGGTATGGCATGGCACGACTGAGCAGGCTGTGCTGCTTGCGGCCCGCATACTGACACAGCCTAGCACAACCCAGGACCGTGCCGATTATGTATATGTATGTACACACACACATATATATATATCTATATCTATATCTATATCTATCTATATCTATATCTATATCTATATCTATCTATCTATCTATCTATATATATATATATAATTTTATTATATTATTTCATTTTATTATTGCATATATAAACAATTGTATACATCAAAATTCATATAAAATAAAATTTTAAGACTTTTTTTTAATTTTTTATCTATTTTGTTAATTTACTTTAAATTTTTTATTATTTTTTCATTTTTTTTAAAAAAATACCTTTCATAGCTTGACCCGATCTGTGGCCCGGCCTGGCCCAAGGCTTGGCCTGTGGACCAGCCCGGCCTATAGCACGGCATGGGCCAACGTGGGCTTGAGCCATGGACCATGCCAGGGCGACCCCCCGAAGTAGGAAGCATGGCCCGACTCAGCACCACCCAGCAAAAGCACGGGGCGCCCATAGGCTGTGCCATGACCCTATTTACACCTCTCCCTACACGCTACTTTGCTTAGTGTTAATTATGTTTGCCTTGCTGCTCACCAGGTACATCTTATAAATCTCAACCTGAACAAAGAGGTTATGCTTACATTCAGCTGGGCATGGAACATAGGAACTCCCACCAGAGATGGCGCCTCACTTCCCTGATTATCTTTGCTTGCAAGTCACTGATCTCTTCTGGTTTTCCCAAGCAGCTTACAGCTGTGAACAACGAGGAGCTCCATTTCAGGCTCCCACGCACTGATTCTTACATCCTTGATATATTACCTGATGCTGACGAAATTCACGGGAGTGCATTACAACGCATTGACCAACAAAAGCTGAATCAAATCGTAAGGGATAAGAACCTCGAAGATTTGAGACGGCATGGAGGAGTGCAAGGAGTTGCAAAAGCCCTTGAAGTCGATGTTGGGTGTGGAATCAACGATGTAGAGTGTCGACGTGATATGTTTGGTTCCAATACCTACCAAAAGCCACCTCCCAAAGGTCTCCTCTATTTTGTGTTGAAAGCTTTCAAATATAATGCCATTTCCGTCCTCTTGGCTTGTTCTATACTGTCTCTCGGATTTGGCATAAAGGAAAACGGCTTCAAACATGGATGGTATGATAATGGAAGTATCACCATTGCAGTACTTCTGGCGGTGGTTGTTTTTGCAGTGCATAACTTCAGGCAATCTAGACAGTTGGAAAAGATATCGAGCATCCGCAACAACATTCAGGCTGACGTCGTCAGAGACGGGTGTCGGCAACAGATTTCCATCTTCGACATCGTGGTAGGAGATGTTGCATATTTGAAGATAGGTGATCAAATTCCTGCAGATGGCTTGTTCTTGGATGGCTATTCCTTACAGGTGGATGAGTCAAGCATAACTGGGAAGAGTAACTATGTGGATATTGATGCCACTGAGAATCCTTTCCTGTTATCGGGCGCCAAGGTGGTGGACGGGTTTGGTCGCATGCTTGTCACTTCAGTTGGCATGCAAACAGAATGGGGCAAGTTGATGAGCTCAATAAACCGTGATATTGGTGAGCGGACACCATTACAAGCTCGCCTCTACAAACTACTTTCGTCTATTGGCAAAATTGGTATAACAGTGGCCTTCCTTGTACTTGTAGTGTTGTTGGCTCGTTACTTCACAGGAAATAGAGAAGACAATAATGGCACTAAAGAGTTTGTTAGCAGCAAGACAAATATCAATAAAACTTTTACTGCAATTGTGCGCACTGTCGCTGATTCTGTTACCATTGTTGTTGCTGCTATTCCGGAAGGCTTGCCATTGGCTGTCACGCTGATTCTTGCTTATTCCATAAAACAAATGATGGCTGATCAAGCGATGGTTCGAAAACTCTCTGCTTGTGAAACAATGGGCTCGGTCACTACTATCTGCACCGATAAAACGGGCACATTGACCATGAACCAAATGAAAGTGGCTGAATTTTGGATTGGCCTACAAAAGATGAGAAATGATGCCTTATCAACAATTGCTACGAGTGTTATTGAATTGCTTAACCAAGGAGTTGGTCTGAACACGATTGGTAATGTGTATCAACCTACTTCAGGAGCAATACCTGAGTTCTCTCGGAGTCCAACTGAGAAAGCCATTCTTTCATGGGCTATATCGGAACTGAACATGGATATGGATGAATTGAACAAAAATTGTACCATTCTCCATGTTGAATCGTTCAACTCAGAGAAGAAAAGAAGTGGCATTTCAGTGAAGAAGAAGGGTGAGAAGATTATCCATGTGCATTGGAAGGGGGCTGCAGAGATGATACTAGCTATGTGTTCAAGTTACCATGAGAGTACAGGAACCATGAAATCCATGGATGATGATTGTAGGATGAAGATCAATCAAATAATTCAGGATATGGCAGCCAACAGCCTCCGTTGCATTGCTTTTGCCTACAAGAATATCTTAGATGAAGAGTTCAGATACAATGAAAACAAGAAGGCCCAGCAAAACTGGGGAGAAGATGGTCTGACGTTTTTAGGTCTAATGGGTTTGAAGGACCCATGTAGACCAGGGGTGAAAACAGCTGTGAAAGTTTGTGAAGATGCAGGAGTGAGCATCAAAATGATAACTGGAGAGAATATTTTCACTGCAAGGGCAATAGCCATTGAATGCGGGATTCTTAAGGCAAATCAAGATATGAGTAATGGAGAAATTGTTCAAGGTATGGAATTTCGAAACTACACAGAGGAAGAGAGAATGTCTAAAGTTGATAAAATCCGGGTAATGGCCAGGTCTTCCGATTTTGATAAGCTTCTAATGGTACGATGCTTGAAACGAAAAGGCCACGTGGTAGCTGTAACCGGTGATGGGACAAATAATGCGCCCGCTTTCAAGGAAGCTGATATTGGGGTTGCAATGGGGATCCAAGGCACTGAAGTAGCTAAGGAAGGTTCTGATATTGTCATACTGGATAAAAACTTCGCTTCTATGGCCAAGTTAGTGAGATGGGGGAGATATTTTTACAACAACATTCAAAAATTCACCCAAATACAACTCACTGTGAACGTTACTGCTCTTGTGATTAACTTTGTTGCAGCAGTCTCTGCTGGCGAAGTCCTGTTAACTGCAGTCCAGTTGTTGTGGGTTAACTCAATCCTGGGCACACTAGGCACTCTGGCTCTAGCAACTGATCAACCTACCAACGAGCTCATGGAGAAACCACCAGTAGGTCGGACTGAACCAATTATAACCAATGTCATGTGGAGGAATATCATTGCTCAAGCTCTGTACCAGATAACTATACTTTTGATATTACAGTTCAAAGGCACATATATCTTTAAGGTAAATGAGAAAGTTAAGGACACCCTAATTTTCAATACTTTCGTGCTTTGCCAAATCTTTAATGAGTTCAATGCACGGAAGCTTGAGAAGAAAAATGTCTTTGAAGGTATACAAAAGAATTGGTTGTTTTGGGGGATTATTGGAATAACTCTCATTTTGCAGGTGATGATGGTGGAAATTTTTAAAAAGTTTGCAGATACAGAAAGGCTAGATTGGGGGCAATGGGTTGCATGTATTGGAATAGCTGCTATATCTTGGCCAATTGGTTGGATTGTCAAGTGCATACCGGTTTCAACTGATACAGGCTTATATAGGTACAAAGGGCTTAACCAAACTATCAAGGAGAAGAATCTGCACCATCTGAAAGTGTCATACAGTGGGGTTGCTGGAGTTGCCCGCTTTCTTCTAGCTGATACAGTTAATGGGATTTCTGATAGTGCCGAAGAACTAGGCCGCCGCCGTGACTTGTTTGGTTTCAACACATACAGGAAGCAAAAAGGCTCCTTCCATTTTATTTGGGAAGCTTTTAAAGATACTTCCACTCTCATTGCCTTGGGCGCTGCCATCCTTTCTCTGTTCTTCGGAATCAAAGCAAACGGGCCGAAAGATGGTTGGTATGATGGTGGGAGCGTGCTGTTCACTGTCTTTCTGGTTGTTGCTATGTCTGCTATAAGCAAATTCAGGCTTTCAAGACAATTTGAAAAGACATCGAATTTGTGTAACATCATCCAAGTTGAGGTCATCAGAGGCGGGCATCATCTACAGATTGCCTTTTCTGAAATTGTAGTGGGAGATGTTGTATGCATAAATGTTGGTGATCAAATTCCAGCTGACGGCTTGTTCTTGGATTGCCACTCGTTAGAGGTGGATGAATCAAGATTGACTGGGGAGAGTAAGCATGTGGCGATTGATGGCAGCAAGAATCCCTTTCTCCTCTCAGGTGCTATGGTAGTGAATGGCCATGGCCACATGCTCGTCACATCTGTGGGCATGAATACGAAGTGGGGCCATGTGATGAATTCGATCAACCATAATGCAGATCAGCAAACCCCACTACAAGCTCAGCTTGATTATCTATCTTCTTTCTTATGTAAGGTTTTTCTGGCAATTCCATTCCTTGCTCTATTGGGAATGGGGGTGCATGACTTGATGAGAAACCATGAATTAGATGGAAGCAACCCCAATATAAACAATCTGATGAACGCTTTGTCAGGTATGCGGGGATTTGTGTCTGTAAATGCTGCAGTTGCAATTGTGGTGGTGGCAATTCCTGAAGGCCTGCCATTGGTTATTATTAACACTCTAACTTACTCCATGAAGAAAATGATGGATACTCATGCAGTTATGGTTCAGAAACTTTCTGCCATTGAGACTTTGGGCATAGCCACCACCATCTGCATAAATAAAACCAACATGTTGACTTTGAACCAGATGGAAGTCACAGAGTTTTGGCTTGGTGAAGAAATAATGAATGACGATGCATTCTCTGCAGGCTCAGCAACAGCCTCCCATCTTTTAGAAATGCTACAACAGGCAATTATTCTGAACACAGTTGAAGTTTATGACTGTAAACATGCTTCAGAAATGTTGCCCCTCTTTTGCAGTAGCCTAACGGAAAAATGCATTCTCTCATGGGTTGTGTCAAAGTTGCAAATAGATGTGAATATGGTGAAGGAAAGTTGCACAATCCTTCATGTTGAAGCCTCGAATCCAGAGAAGAAACGAAGTGGTGTTTCCACAAGGAAGAAGGGTGACAAGACAATCAATATACATTGGAAGGGAGATGCTGACATGATATTGGGAATGTGTTCACATTATCATGGGAGAAATAGGACCACAAAAAGCATGGATGAAGGCAAAAGGACGGAGTTCAAGCAAATAATTAAACATATAGCAAGTAAAAGCCTTGGATGCATTGCCTTCGCCTACAAACAAATCCAAGATGTAGAGGAGAGTGAGGAAGTAATGGTTCAGAGGCTCCAAGAAGATTGCCTGACCTTATTAGGCCTGGTAGGTCTGAAGCATCCATGTCCACAAGCTATGAGCATGGAGGTGAAGGCTTGTACAGATGCTGGGGTGAATGTCAAGTTGATAACTGAAGGTGATGTCCTTGATGCAAGAGCTCTAGCCATCACAAGTGGAATACTTGGACCTAATCATGAGGACCCAAAAAATGAAGCAGTGGTGGAAGGTGAGCAATTCAAAAACTACTCACTTGAAGAAAGAAAAGAGAAGGTTGATAAAATCAGGGTAATGGCAAGGTCTTCCTCCTATCACAAGCTGCTCATGGTACAGTGCATAAAGGAAAAAGGCCATGTAATTGCAGTCACTTGTGATGGCCCAAATGATTTGCAAGCAGTCAAAGAAGCTAATGCTGATGTTGTGATTGCCACAGGGACACAATACATTCAAACAAAGGAGAGTTCAGACATCATCATTTTAGGTGGTAACTTCATTTCTGTAGCTGCAGTTTTGAAGTGGGGAAGATGTATCTACAACAACATCCAAAAATTCATCCAGTTCCAGCTCACAGTTAATGTCTCTGCCCTAGTGATCAACTCCATTGTAACTATTTCTTCAGGTGAAGTCCCTCTAACAGCATCCCAGTTGTTGTGGGTAAACCTGATCATGGACGTATTGGGAGCCTTGGCACTAGCAACCGAGCAACCCAGTGATGAGCTCATTGAAAAGCCACCAGTGGCTAGAACAGAGACCCTCATCACCAGGGTCATGTGCAGGAACCTCATAGGTCAGGCTCTATTTCAAGTGACCATCGTGCTGACCCTACAATTCAAGGGAGTTCATATCTTTCAGGTGAGCAAGAAGATTAATGATACACTCATTTTCAACACTTTCGTCTTCTGCCAAATCTTTAACCTTTTCAATTCAAGGACGCTAGAAAAGAATAACATACTTAAGGGGATACATAAGAACCAATTATTCCTAGGCATTGTGGTGATAGCTGTAGTTCTTCAAATGATGATGGTGGTATTTCTGAATAGATTCTCCAACACTGAGAGGTTGAATTTGAAGCAATGGAGTGAATGTATTGGACTTGCAGCTTTATCTTGGCCAATTGGTTGGGTTGTCAAGTGCATACCAGTTTCTTCTAAGCTACTTTATCATAACCACCATTTTGCTTCCTGTAAAAAGACTGCCTAAAAGAACTGGTAAATAGTGCTCAGTGCTTTTTCTCAGTTTCCACTTGTAAATAATGGCCGAGTTCCTTTGTGATTACTGCCTGAGCTCAACAGGGAAATTTCCACCAAGTTCCAATACCAATTACTCAAGATGAAGGTATATTTTGCAAGGTCAGAGTACAGTTTCCAGATTTCATCACTTATCTCTCGCCCTCAAAAATCTGTGCCATCATTTAATGTAGATGGTATTATACGCAGCATGAAACAGTGTTTAAGCCCAAGGTTTAAAATTTCGATACGATACGCCCAATACGGGGCGTATCGTATCGTATCTTTTAAAAACCGATACAGGATACGCATGAAAATCGAACGTTTCATCTTTTTTCATGTGTATCGGACCCGTATCGGGGGCATATCGGGGCGTATCAGTAGCATATCGGCGAAAAAGATATGGCCAAAAACTAAAAAAAAAAAATTAAGGGGAAAGCAAGCTTCTTTTCCCCAAAATAAACCTTCTTTCACCCCCAAATGACTCTAAAACTCCAAACTTCATTCCTAGAGTGTTAGATTTGCAAAATTTTGCAAGAAACAAGTGTGAATCATTAATTTTTTTTAAATATTTTTCGAATTTTGAAAAAATATGGCAAAAATAGGTAAATTTTTTCAATCTTTTATAATATCTTGTGATTTCTTTTTTTTTTTCTTGAATGTTTAAATTTATGTCGATCTACATTTCTTACATTCAAAATCACAATTTTTTTGTGCTATCAATAGATTTATGGAAATTTCATAAAAATATTTGGGGAAAATATAAATTAACAAACAATTTGAAAATGTAAGTTTTTTCTCTGGCTATAAAGACTAAATATGTTTTAGATCTATGGGTTTATCTATCATATCCATAGAGCAATTGAAATTACTTCTTTAATATTTTTTTATTTCTGATATTTTTAGAATTAAAAAAACAAATAATAATTAATTATATTTTATCATTTGATCATAACAATTGAATATATTATAATTCTATGGATGATCTATCATATCCATAGACCAATTAAAATTTCTTTTCTAATAATTATTTTTTTATTTTTGTAGAATTAAAAATTAATTAATTAATTAATTATATTTTATCATTTGATCATAACGATCATATTATAATTCTATGGATGATCTATCATATCCACAATTGAAATTTCTTCTTTAATAACTATTTTTTAATATATTATATAATGTTTATTTATTTTTTATAATTTTTGGAAATGAATAATAAATAATAATTATTTAAACAATAAATAATTATTAATTATATTTTCACATAGAAGTTGTGCCAATGCATGTTTTATGGTTGGATAGGACAGTTGGGTTTTTCTCATCCCATAAAACATTAAAACTTAAGAATTAAAATTTATAAATTATAGTTAAGCATAGGATTTTTAATGAAACTATAATTAGCTATAATATATTTCTTCATAAAACCATTAAAATATATTAATTTAATGTATATACATTGAGGTCTTATATTTAGTGTTGTTGATGTATTTTTATGATTTATTAAAGTATTTACAGTGTTTCCAAGCATATCTTAGTTTTTCTCCGGTACGCATACGTATCCAAGGCGTATCCCGATACGTATCTTAAAATTGCCTTTCTGATACATTTGGCATTTCCAATACTTTGAACCTGGTTAAGCCTTCCTTGGATGCCTGTCACATATATGGGAATCACCCTAGACATGAATCCTGAAAATTCTTAGACAGAGTCAGACTTCTGCATAGAACTAATCAAAATCTTCAATTAATTATGTAATTATTTCCACTAAGTTCCAATACCAATTACTCAAAATGAAGGTATATTGTGCAAGGTCAGAATACAGGTTCCAGATTGCATCACTTATCTCGAGCCCACAAAAATTTATGCCATCTTTTAATGTAGACAATATTATTGGCAGCATAAAACAGTGGTTAAGCCTTCCTTGGATGCCTATCACATATATGGGAATCACCCTAGACATGAATTCTGAAAATTCTAAGACAGAGTCAGACTTCTGCACAGAACTAATCAAAATCCTCAATTGATTATGAAATTATTTTACCACTTCACTCTAATCAAAATCTTCTGCATAGAACTACAATTACCTTGGAACAATAAATCACCTAAAAACCACCAGCGGACCTTTATCAATTTGATAAAGGGCAATTTCATTAATCTCCTCACGTTTTCAGAAAACTTCACCAAACTCGCTAGTTTTCAAAAATGTTTTGAACTCCCCTGGTATACATGCCCTCGTATCACTGGCCTCCTTCCTATTATGAATCCATAAATAGTGCTGTTGGTTAAAATATTTCGAAAACTCCAAAAGACCCTAACTAAAAATTTGGTAGAGATTTATCATTTTACAGTGTTTTCATTTTTTGTCATGATAAACGAGTAGAGTTTCCAATGATCCTATTAATTTGTCACATAAAAGATAACTGGGCTGTTTATTAGGGAAGCTGTCATGTTGAATTCATAGCAACAACTTAGGCAGTGTTTTGTATCATGGTGCTGCGGAGACATTTCAGTTCACTGCCATGCACCAAATAGGCATTTTGATTTTTACCAAACCAAAATCCTGTTTGGTTGGGTTGATCAGGTACAAATGTTTTATGCTATTATTTTTCTTATGTGAAAGTGACTTTTGGAGGAAATGTTTGAATGAGCCAGTGTCCGGATAAGGCTTTTGGACTTTTCAAAGTCCAAAGTCGAAAACCAATTTTGAACTTTCTAGTTTGGACTTTTGGCTACATAAACTGTTTGGTTAATATGGCTTCCAAAGCATGATTTGTGAAGTAAAAGTAACAAGAGGTGTTTGGTAACACCAACCTACTTTCTGATTTCTTGAAAAAAAAATAGGGAATGAATAAGCTAATAGCATCAGTAATGAACAAGTTTCTTGTAGACCAAATATCGAACAAATAGAATGCATAGTGTCAACACACCCTGTGCACATATACAATGAGACTGCACAAACCACCAAATCCAAGCAACAAACAAATAATGAAATCGCACAAAACATCATAAATGAACAATGAATCAAACCCATCACATTAAAATCAAATAAACAATCACAAAGGAACAATAAACCCTATATCACATATAGCTAAAGAATCACACAAACCACCAAATCTAGACACAATACACAATGAAGAGGGTAATGAAATGGACTAAGACGGCATACCTGAAAACTTGTGAAGACCGATTGAACCTGCCGTAAGAGAATTCAGCCATGTGAAGAAGGACAAAGAAGAGGAGAATGGCAATGAAGAAAAGAGATGGTAGGGAATTCACCATGAGTGGCTGGATGGATTCGTTCGAGTGAATGGGGAAGTAAATGTGGGAGAAAGCAACTCCAAAAGTACAAAGTCAAATTTCTGGGCTTCCTGAAATTAGCCCTTAATGAAATTTTGCTTTGGGTGCTTTGGCGTCCAAAAGTAAGCTCAACTGTTCAACCAATGAACCAACCTCTAAAAGCCGACTTTATTGCTCTTGGACTTTCGTTGAAATTTGAAACTCCCAAAATAAAGGTTTATCCAAATACAGCCTTACTTATAAGAAGAGAGGTTGAATATCATAGGTGTATTTAAAGATACAATCTTTAGAACATTATTTGATAATCTTAGTTTATTGTTGGATTGTAAGTAAATCCAAGAGGATTTTAAGCAACATAAGGGCGCCTAGGCGATAAGAATTTTATAATATAAGGAATTACTTTTTGGTTAGTTCCCCAGTTATATATATCATTCAACATGCATAAAATATAAAATAAAAATTATCTTTATTAAAAATATTGAATTTCCTCTAAAATGTGTTAAATTATTATATCTAAAAGATAAAAATCTTTTAAATATATTAATTTCATTATTTTCAAAAATAAATACTACTATTTATTTAATAGAGCAATTTCATATCAATTAACAACTAAAGAGGGTTATTAACTTCATATGATAAAAATTCAAGATGAAAAGTATAATAGAAAAAAAAAGGATGTAGTTATTGTTTTATGTAATTGAAAATAGAGAGAGATAGAGAGCGAACAAAAAGAAAAATAATCCCCATACTTCTATTATTTCTTTCTTTCTTTCTTTTTCTCTCTTCAAACCCTTTTGATCTTTTAAATTTCAATAGTAAGACATTAAAACAAAGTATAAATGATATATAATATAATAAAATGTATTTACACACGTATTAATAAGCTACAATAATATAAATGATATTATAATAAGGTGCTCACCTTGTCATTTTTGTTGCCTAGGCGCCCTTAGTGGCCTAGATAGGTGGCTAATTGATATAAGTCAAGGCATTTGGGTGAGGCAATCAGCCAAGGGTGCCCTAATTCCTAGGATACAACAGAGCCTCTAGTTAGAAACTACAACAAGCAAAATTAAAGATCCTCCAAGGAAGCCATCTACATAAGAGTAATAATTCGGATTGAGAGAGACAAGTACAGAGGAAATTCTATGAGCAAAAACCTTCTACATGAGAGCAATAATTCGGATTGAGAGAGACAAGAACAAAGGAAATTCCATGAGCAAAAACATCGTGTCTTACACCTTTTCTATAGATTCTAGAGAGTCGTTTTAAAAGTTTTTAAGTCTCTACGAAGAGGCTCCTTGTATAGTTACAACTTACAAATTTGAATTAAGTGATTGTTCTCTCTTAGTAGAGTCTTTCTTCACTTCTTAAACAAAAAACACTTCAACTTAAAAATGTTTAGAGTTGGTCCACATCCATTTAGTGCCATGTAAAATTAATGAGGAGTAGGCATAACTTTGCAAATGCTGCTAAGTTGCTTTCTCTATTTTTATTCTTTGTTTTCTTGTTTATCTTTGCCAAATAGATCCAATGAATTTGGTTAGTTGTCGTGGAAACTCGGGATCAAATCCTATTGCCACCAAGGTTAGGGATTTAGGGTATGGAGGATGGATTACCACCCATTGTGTAGCTCCATGAACAACCCCCCCCCCTAAAAAGAAAAGAAAAGATCCAATGGCAAACTCTATAGGCAACTCTGCAACTCCATTACTATTTTTGATCCTCTTGAAGTCAAAATCCTCTCAAACACCTACAAATCCGAGTAAGTAAAACCATAAAAAAAGTTCCCTAAAATACCTTATTTACAAAGAAAAATATTTTTCTTCAATATTTTCCTTTTCTCTACTACACTCTGGTTTAAAGTTGAAACAAAAGGTTAAAGTATCATAAACATTAAGTGTATCAAAAAGACAAATTTAAGAGGCGTATTGGGATATGCCTTGGATACACATGCATATAGACCAAAAATGAAGATATGCATGGAAACACTATAAATATTCCAATAAATCATAAATATACATCAATAACATTAAATATAGGGGCCTAAATGAGCTATATATACATAAAAATCACATCCTATAAGTGATTTTTATGTAAAAGTATATCACAAATAACATATGGAAACATAAGAGTATTCTCTAATAAGGTTATAAGTGCACAATATAAGCTTAATAATTATTTAATGAAACATTTTCTATAATTTTTTAAACAATTATTTATTTCTTATTCAAGGAATTATTTTCTTTTTTATTACAAAAATTTTAACAAAATTAAAAAATAAAATGTAATAGAAAAATAATTTTATGGATGTGATAGATCATCCATAGATTTACAAAATGGTAAATATTATGATTAGATCACACAAAAAATTAGAAAAAAAATAAATATTTTACAATACATTTCAATAGATCTATGAATTAAAATTAAAAAAAAAATTGTATTTTAAACTTACAAAAAGTTTTTAAAATAAATATTTTTCATTTTACAAAAAAAATAAATCTTTTTTAATTTTTAGTAATGAAAAAATAAATATTTTTATTCCAAAAATTACAAAAATAAAAAATGAATATTTTAGAAATTTCAATAGAGCTATGGACATGGTAGATCACCCATAGATATATGACACAATTATTCTTCATCGGCATATTACACCAAAAATATATTTTTTTTTTTGTGTTGTTATTTTATATTTTTCCTAAATTTTCTTCAAAGATTAAATAGATCTATTTAAAGCACAACAAATATAGGATTTTCAACATAAGGAGAGTATATCAATATATATCAATATCTATCTCTCTCTCTCTCTCTCTCTCTCTCTCTCTATATATATATATATATATACATTTCTGAGCTTTAAAAAACACATTTTGTAACATACTATCAAATAAATAAAAAACGTATATATTTAATTGTGCAGCTTTTGTAAAAAGTTGAAAAAACTACAAAAATCTTGAGTTTTGGAAGTTGTTTTGGGGGTTTTTTAAAGATTTTACAATCCAAGAATCTGTAGGGATGATTTGATGAGTTTGGGGGAGAAAAAAAGGCTTTTGGAAAGAGTTAGAAATCTTCTTTTCTCAAGCATTTTTAATTCGTTTTTTGCTTACAGGAAATCGTACTGTATCAGCCGATACATCTTGATATGGCTATGATACAATCCCGATACGCCCCAATACAGGTCCAATACAGGGTTGGCACGACAAAAAGACACGATACAAATGAGTTTGTAGCATTTCCCATGTTAACCCTTTAAAGATATGATACACATCGGCCGATACAAGTCAATACGTTGCAAAATTTTGAATCTTGATTGAAACAACTATAATAATAAAATTGTATTTAAGATGAGCAAACTATACCCATTACCAAAATCCACAACCCCAAATAAATATTTTAATATTAGTATTGATGAAATCATGAGCTAATGGAGCTCAAGCTTCATAAAGCAGACAATGAAATTTGGCTCAAAATAGAAAGGTTCACTAGTGGTCGTCTTGTTCTCTCCCTTGCGGCATTAGAAGGTGAAAAAGTAACTTAACAACATTTGTAGAATTGTTCCTTTTGCGACGATACATCTGTCCCTCGTTAATATGACATGGTATTAAAATGGACATGGACCATCCTAAACAATTTTAGGATGCAATGGAAGGAGCAAAGAATTTTCTCCATTAGTGTAGGTGCAAGCAAAGTCTGGCGGCATCGCACACGTGTGCGTGCGTGTGCACGCGTTAGGAGGATGAAAAGTGTAAAAAAAAAAAAGTGCAAGGGCATTTTGCACCGAGGCACAAGCATTTTTAAAGAATGGTGCAAAACTGTAAAAAAAAAATCTAAAAAATCCAAAAATTGTTAAAAAAGTAAAAAATTAAGAATAATATTAATTAAAAACAAGTATAACATATAAAACATATTCAAACATGTAAAACTCTTAATATCTTTTTCTTTTCCCGATTGTATTACTTCAAATATCTAATGTAATGTTAAACATTATGCATTTCTAATTATATGAATCGTCTTTGTACCAAGTCCTCAAGGCAAGCTCAAATAAGTCCATATCATGGTCTTAAATTATTAATTCCTATAAAAAAAAATTTTATAATTTTATCTTTTAAAAATATCTTTTATTAAGACAAATAAATGAGAAAAAATAGCAAATATGAGATTTTCAGAATTTCAAAAGGCTTGACAAACTTTCAAAAGGATAATAAAAATGATACAATCTTTTAGAAGGCGTGCACCTAGGATGATGTTCAATGCCCACCAGGCACATGCCTTAAGTTTTGCTCCTAGAGACTAGGCAAGCATGCCTATTAAGCAAACTCGTGTTAATAATTCTAAGAAAAGTCTATGATTTTCCCATATGGGACAAGGTAAAAAAGACAAAACAAGAGTTTTGGTGGAAATTTTCAAATTTTAGAAAATTACTTTTACAAAACCAAAAGTGCAAGTGCCAAGCTGTGAAATCAATCAATAAAGCCATGAAATTGGATGTTCTTCCTCTAAGGTGTGCTTCCACTTCCATTACTCTATGGGGGCTTTAGTTCTTTTCCTACCTCTTAGTTTTTATATCTAAATTCTAAATCTTAAACCTTAAACCTAAACCTTTAAATCTTAACCCTAAACCCTAAAACCTAAATTCTAAACCCCTAAACCCTAAAATTTAAGTGTAAATGCATTTCTTTGGTGGCATGTCCTCCAACCGGGTAGAATCCTATATTTCCTATCCTATGCGGTGCCTAATGGTAATGGTGTCTAGTAGTGCTTATGTGTTATAGATAACAATAAACAATTATACATTGCCACTCAACTCCTTGGATTTGCAATGTTGAGATCAAATACAAAAACAACACCCATGCAAAACAAGGATACCAGACACCAAGTTGATAAATGGGCAAGGGGCGAAGGAGAAATGAAAAGCTGCATCATAAAAGTAATAAACAATCAACGAGCATCATAAAAGTAGTAACCAATCAGACAGGCTTTCATCAAAGTTCTTGGGGTTGTGATTGGTCAAAGTCTTTCTAGTATCATATCTTTCCAACATCATAGATTTTCCCAAATCCAGATGAAATGTAAAGGTTCATATGAAAGCGAGGGTGGAAATTCACTACCAAAAAGCATAATAGAGTAGATAGTTAGAAAAAAAAAAACTGCTCATCACAAGTAGGCTAGAGAATTTGCCATTTTCATTTAAG